ACTACATTCCATGTTTAAGTGTGCCATAATAATTTTGCACCATGACTTAATGAACCATTTTGCTTCTAATAGATATTTAGTCTATCTCTAAGTTTTTAAAAAGGAGTATAAAAATGCAATGTGTTTCTCTTTGCACAAATATTTTTTAAGAAATTTTGAGAAAGCATTTTTGAATGTAAAATTATGGATATTTTAAACATAACAGATACTGTGATATTGCTTTCCAAGAACACTAAACCAATTAACTGTCCTTTGAAATATTCATGGGGGCTTTTTCATGACTTGGCCAATTCTGGACTTTATCAAATATATCAGATGTATCTATTTCTCTTCCTTTTTATTTTGTAGTCTGTGGGAGAAAAGTATATAATTATCTTTGCTTTTATTTTTCAAATAACATGTCAGGTTAAATATTTGCATATGTTTAAAAGTAATTTTGATATACTGTTTTGTGATTTTCCTGTCCATAAATTTTTCAAGTTTTTGGTTAGGATTTACCTTATTTTCTCCTTTACATTATTTTTCTACACATTCTTTATTTCTAATATATGCTTTAAATACTTTCCAGTCTGTTATTAGTTTTTAAAATTTGTTTCTGACATATTTTGTAATATAAAAATGTTAATGTTATATAAACAAAGGCATCTGTCTTGTTACAATTTTTTACATCTTGGGACTTGTTATGCAGGTCTTTCTTATCCTAAAATTATAAACGTATTATATTTTCTTCCAATATTTTTAAAGTTTTGTATTTTATATTCAGTCTGAAATTTATAAATGTTATATTACTAAATAAAGATTTCAAACCCATTTTTCAAGATTAATATCCAAGTTTTATCATTTCATGTTTTGACTTAGCTCATATTTTATATTTAACGCCAATTTACATGTGGTAAGTTATACTCTTTTCAGTATGTAATACCGTGAATTTTTACAAACACCTACAGTTCTTTAGGCTCCACCATAATTAAAATATAGTACAATTCAGTCACACCAGAAATTCCTAACTGGGCTTTTGTAGTCCAACACTTACTTGTCAAACACTCAGTCTTTGAAAACTCCTAATCTTTTGCTATTCTTAAATTTTTCTCTTCCACCTTAGCATACAAATAAAATAAATTGTGATATGTAGCCTTTGAATCTGGCTTCTTTAGGTTAAACCTATCATAATGTATCTGAGGATCATCCATATTGTCACAAGTGTTAACAATATATTTATTTTTCTTACTGAATACTATTTTACTTTATTGATGTACCAGAGTTTATTTATTCATTCTCCAGTTGACAGACAATTGGGTAATTTTCAGTTTGGAACAATTATGAATAAAGTGTCTAAATATTAGAATAGAAGTTTTTGTTGGTTGATTTTTATTTAACTTGGGTAAACAGCAGTGGGATTGTTGGGCTACAATAAATAGCTTTTTAATTTTATAAGAATGCTCTTTCTCGCTACTCATATTAAACATGGTATCGGAAGTTCTGGCTGGAGCCATTAGGCAAGAGAAAGAAATAATGGGTATCTGAATAGGAAGAGAGGACTTCACATTGTTCCTGTTTGCAAATGACACGATTGTATATTTAGAAAACCCCATCATCTCAGCCCAAAATCTCCTTAAGCTGATAAGCAACTTCAGCAAAGTCTCAGGATACAAAATCAATGTGCAAAAATCTGAAGCATTCCTATACACCAATAATAGACAAACAGAGAGCCAAATCATGAGCGAACACCCATTCACAATTGCTACAAAGAGAATAAAATACCTAGGAATACAGCTAACAAGGGATGTGAAGGACCTCTTCAAGGAGAACTACAAACCACTGCTCAAAAAAATAAGAGAGGACACAAACAGATGGAAAAACATTCCATGCTCATGGTTAGGAAGAATTAATATTGTGAAAATGGCCATATTGCCCAAAGTAATTTATAGATTCAATGCTATTCTCATCAATCTACTAATGACTTTATTCACAGAATTGGAAAAAAAAAAAAAACACCTTAAATTTCACCTGAAACCTAAAAAGAGCCTGGATAGCCAAGACAATCCTAAGCAAAAAATAGCAAGGCTGGAAGCATCACGCTACCTGACTTCAAACTATATTACAAGCCTACTGTAATCAAAACACCATGGTACTGGTACAAAAACAGATATATAGACCAATGGAATGGAAGAGAGGCCTCAGAGAGAAAACCACACATCTGCAACCACCTGATCTTTGACAAACCTTACAAAAACAAGCAATGGGGAAAGGATTCCCTATTTAATAACTGGTGTTGGGAAAACTGACTAGCCATGTGCAGAAAGCTGAAACTGGATCCCTTCCTTACACCTTATACAAAAATTAACTCCAAATGGATTAAAGATTTAAACATGAGGCCTAACCCTGTAAAAACCCTAGAAGAAAACCTAGGCAATCCCATTCAGGACATAGGCATAGGCAAGGACAGCATGACTAAAACACCAAAAGCAATGGCAACAAAAGCCAAAATAGACAAATGGGATCTAATTAAACTTAAGAGTTTCTGCATGGCAAAAGAAACTATCAAAAGAGTGAACCAGCAACCAACAGAATGGGAAAAATTTTTGCAATCTACCCACTTGACAAGGGACTAATAACCAGAGTCTATGGAGAAAGTAAACAAATTTACAAGAAAAAACAACCCCATCAAAAAGTGAGCAAGGGGTATGAACAGGCACTTTTCAAAAGAAGACTTTTATGCAATCAACAAACAAATAAAAAAAGGCATCATCACTGGACATTAGAGAAATGCAAATCAAAACCACATTAAGATGCCACCTCATGCCAGTTAGAAAGGCTATCATTAAAAAATCAGGAGACAACAGATGCTGGAGAGGATGTGGAGAAATAGGAATGCTTTTACAGTGTTGATGAGAGTGTAAATTAATTCAGCCATTGTGGAAGACAGTGTGGGGATTTCTCAAGGATCTAGAAATAGAAATACCACTTGACCCAGCAATCCAATTACTGGATATATACCTAAAGGATTATAAATCATTATATTATAAAGACACATGCACACATATGTTTATTGCTGCACTGTACACAATAGCAAAGACTTTTAACCAACCCAAATGCCCATCAATGACAGACTAAATAAAGAAAATATGGCACATATACACCATGGAATACTATGCATCTGTAAAAAAGGATGAGTTCATGTCTTTTGCAGGAACATCAGTGAAACTGGAAACCATCAAGCTCAGCAAACTGACACAAGAACAGAAAACAAAACACTGCATGTTCTCACTTATAAGTGTGTGTTGAACAATGGGAACACACAACACAGGGAGGGGGACATCATACACCAGGGTCTGTGGAGTGGGGTGCTATGGGAGGAATAGTAGGGGGTGTGGGGATTGTGTAGGGATAGCATTAGGAGAAGTACCTAATGTAGATGAAGGAGCGATGGATGCAGCAAACCACCACCATGGCACTTGCATACCTATGTAACAAACCTGCACAATCTGCACATGTATCCCAGAACTTGAAGTATAATAAATAAATTGAAAGAAAGAAAGAAAGAAAGAAAGAAGGAAGAAAGAACTTATTTAAAAGATATTATTATTAAAAAAGAAAGCTATTAAAAAAATCTTAAACTCTGCAATCTACAATATCTAATATGCCTATTTTAACTATATTCAATTTATCAATTTTTAATCATTTGTGCATTTTGCATATTATTTAAGAAATGTTTGTCTAACTCAAGATTACTATGATTTTTCTCCTATGTTTTCTTCCAGAAGCTTAATATATTTTGATCTATGATGCATTTGGACTAAAGTAAGTAAAGTCAATTTTTGTATTTTGTGTGAGGGAAGGGTTGAGTTTCCTTTTTTAAGCAATACGAAATAAATATTTGTCTATTTAGTTATTCTAACACTGTTTGTTGAAAATATTGTTTTCTCCCCAGTGGCAACTTTTTCAAGGAGAAAGAGGACGAGAAGGAGGAGGATGAGGACAATGACAACAACATCAAGATGCCTGTGGGTATATTTGTGGGCATTCCAATGGGGATGACCCTGTTCTGTATCTTGATTGTGACAATACCCGTAGTAATAAAAATGCATAGAACTAAATATGCCCATATGCTAGCCTACATGAGTTCATTTAAAACTGGTGAAATCTGAATAAATTACGTAGATTGTATCAGTGTCAGTATTCTGGTTGTGAAATTGTATTGTAGTTATACAATATGTTGTCATGGGGAATACTAGGAAAACAGTATAAGAGATCTTTCTGAATCATTTCTTACAACTGCATGTGACTTTCACATTCACCTTTTCAAATTATCACAAAATAGAAAGTCAAAATTCATTTTGAAATATTCTAAGAATGAATACTTCTCATCAAAAATAACTGGAAATCCTTGAAATAAAAGCCAAGGGTTATATGAACATAGTGACCATAAAAGACATAGTAGAATAAAACAAATTTCCCACAGAAAGACCTCTTTAATAAACAAGCAACTATTGGAGGATAGATTATGCTACTGTCTACTCAGTAATCTCATTTGCTAAACTAAGCTTTTTCATCTCAGCAGAATGACCTAAAAGGGACAGTAAAGGGTGAAGAGGTCAGTAAGAATTACTTAAAACTTTCATAAAGCAGGCTAATGACCAGCTAAATTCCATAAAAGTAAAAATTTACTTCACATCTCCATGCAGCATTGATTTGATTATTTGACTCTCCAGTCAATTTGTTCAAATAACATATTCGTTAAGAGCTATTAAACTAGTTGTGCATGTAAATAAAATGAATCAAAATCCAATTGCAACAAAAAAGGAGTTATGATATTAATTAATTAGGATTTTGTCTGTCTTACAACTATTAAGACTTATAATTACTTTGAGCAGAAGTTCCTTTTTTCAGGATGTCTAGAAACTGCCTAGAAAAAAAATTGTACAATGAATTTCTATGATAATTTTTTAAAAAATTTTCATGGCCCAGTCCCCTCGCCGAGTCCCTCCGCTGTCGCCACGATGATGCGCGGGGCGCCCCCAACCGTGCAGCCGGCCACCGCACAGACCCAGAACATCGCCGACCAGGTGAGGTCCCAGCTTGAAGAAAAAGAAAACAAGAAGTTCCCCGTGTTTAAGGCTGCGTCCTTCAGGAGCCAGCTGGTTGCGGGGACGAACTACTTCATCAAGGTGCATGTCCGTGACGAGGAATTTGTCCACTTGCGATTATTCCAAAGTCTCCCTCACGAAAACAAGGCCTTGGCCTTGTCTAACTACCAGACCAACAAAGCCAAGCACGATGAGCTGTCCTATTTCTGACCCTGACTTTGGGCAGGGTCCTTCCACCAGAAGGCTGGTAATTAAGTGATTTCTGCGTGGACCACAGCGTGCACTTGGGATCATAAAATGAGCATCTCCTGGCTGCGCCCCTCGGGTGGAAGGGGCCGGATGCAGCAGCTGCTCTTGCATTTCTGTTTCTAAATTTCATTGTGTTGATTTTTTTCCCCCTTCCAATCAGAGATCTTAATTACTTTCAAAATATTTTCAAAAAATAAAATGCATATTTAAAAAAAAATTTTATATCAACACATCCAAGAGACTACTATAGGGAGGCAGATGATTATTCAATACAAAGTAAGTGTTCTACCATTCAAAAATGTTTGAAGATGAAGTGAGCTCCTTTTTGCAGGTAATAGGCTATCCTTTTCTGAATGTGTTCAATCATAGCAGTTGTAAAATTTTAACTGGAAAAGTATAAATTACTTTAGACATGTAGATTGTATAAAAATATACTTATGGAAGACTCTAAATCTAATAAATCTAACTCCAAACTACATTTGAAAATGATAAAAAAGAAGCCCGGATGTTAGTTATTGCAGCTCAGAATAGAAGCCGGGTATCCTGAAAGCCTCAATAGACCTTGTTAATTGTCCTTTTCTTCCTGAATATTAGCCAACATTAAGTCTCCATTTCATATATAACTGTTCAGTTCCAAAACAAAGAAGAAAGCAAGAAGTTGTAAATGTAATGAATGGTTGTTAACATTTTTCATATTTCCTTCCTCTTTTTTTTTAAATTCACTATTAATCGCCTCCCCTGCCAGGCACTGTACTTGAATCGTTACAGACAACCTCTCTTAATTTTCATTCACAACAACCCTCTGAGGTTTGTACTAATTCCATATAGCAGATGAAGTAGCGAAGCACAGGAATGGCAAATGGCCCAGAATGGCATAGTATGTATATGAAAAGAGGACGTAAGATTTTTTTCTTCATTTTACCATGTGTCAGCAACCTAAAAGGAAGCTGAGGCAAAATTAACATAAAAGTTTATTTGGGGCTGGGCGCGGTGGCTCAAGCCTGTAATCCCAGCACTTTGGGAGGCCGAGGCGGGTGGATCACGAGGTCAAGAGATCGAGACCATCCTGGTCAACATGGTGAAACCCCGTCTCTCCTGAAGATAAATTAGCTGGGCATGGTGGCGCGTGCCTGTAATCCCAGCTACTCAGGAGGCTGAGGCAGGAGAATTGCCTGAACCCAGGAGGCGGAGGTTACGGTGAGCCGAGATCGCGCCATTGCACTCCAGCCTGGGTAACAAGAGTGAAACTCCGTCTCAAAAAAAAAAAAAAAAGTTTATTTGGGCCAAGGTTGAGTGCTGCAGCCCAGGACACACTTCCAAGTCACCTTGGGGAGGGCATCAGAGAAAAAAAGAGAGATTCAGGTTTTTGAAGAAAAAGGGATGAATCAGAAGTGGTGGGGGCAATTACCAAAGTTGTTTGTCATGAATTCTCATTGGTTTACAGAAATAACATTGCTCAATCATTGGTGGTGTATTGTTTAACTATAAGGTGTATGGCATTTTGTTGCTACTTGACATCAGTTAGTCAAGAGCTCACAGAGTAAGTGGTTTCAAGAGATAATTACTTTACCTCAAGGGGTGTGACAAGAATGCCGTTTCATTCCAATGCCTCTCTGATCCTAATATTTTATGTGGCTCCATTGAAAAGTTTATTTTCTTCTTCCTTCGTTCTTCACATCTTTAAAAAAGCTGGGCTACAAAGTAATTTTTTTTTTTGCATAGTTTTTGGTGAATTTAAAGATGTATGCATCCTGTGAGGTACAACTTGACTTTCACATCTGTACTTTAGGTACGCTGTTGCACATGGCAGATGTAAACAATTGTCTTTATAGGTTAAAAATTTATTTAACCTATAAAATATTGCATATCACAAAGCAGAAAACTATAGTGCACTTAAAATAAGTAATGTACATTACTCTCGTTCTATTCCTCTTCTCCCCCTTCTTTTTCTCCCTCTTCTACCCCACACTCTATTCTCCTGAGATAAGCTTATGTGTACTGTTGGAAAATTTCTCATAAAGCCTACAAACAGAGATAAATTTCAAAGAAAAGAAATCTAAAGGCTAATATAATAGAAGGCCAGGTATCTATGGCAACATCAACAAAAGGAGTTTAATTCCACGTGTAAAAATGTGGAGATGTGAGAAATTGATTTAAACATGTTTACAATTTGCCAATATCAATAAAAACCTGAAAAATGAAAACATTACTTCAGGTAATGTACTCAAAGCAATTGATGCGATTAAATTATAAAGAGAAAGGTAAAAGACAAAACAAAGTAAGATGAGAAGATTGTTTAAAGGGCTATAAGTTAAGTGATTCACTCTCCCAACTTAGCACACTTGGCATTCTAGCATATTTTCTTAAACTCTTGCATCAATTTGTCTAAGGCCCTGATGATTTGTTGAGTGCTTCTAAGAGATCTTGTAGGAGTCAGAATTAATTATTGTGGTTATTAATCCTTAGGTTTCCAAGGAATATGTTGATTACTTTGCAAAGCCAAATAAAAATATCTCAAAGTTCTATGTTAAGGAATAGATGCAGTAAGCACCACATTTTGGCTTGCTATTTTCCCATTTAGCAGAATGGAATAAACAGTTGTCAGACCGTTTTCCTAAGGACACATAAACAGTTTCATCCCCATAAGCCACATGTCTAAAATGCAATGTCACAAGTGCTGTTCTTCACACTGTACTCTTGCCTCTCACATTTTTATTTATCTCCACTTGCAGTTTCAATAGTGTCTTCTATTAAACTTATGGGAAATGCTGCAAAGAGATTACTTGCACAAACTTTATTTAAGAAAATTTTTAGAATGGCAATCAATAAATATCAGGAGACAGCAGATGCTGGAGAGGATGTGGAGAAATAGGAATGCTTTTACATTGTTGTTGGGAGTGTAAATTAGTTAAACCATTGTGGAAGAGAGTGTGATGATTCCTCAAGGACATAGAAATAGAAATTCCATTTGACCCAGCAACCCCATTACTGAGTACATACCCAAAGGATTATAAATTGTTCTATTATAAAGATATATGCACATGTATGTTTATCACGGCACTGTTTACAATAGCAAAGACCTGGAACCAACCCAAATGCCCATTGATGATAGACTGGAGAGGGAAAATGTGGCACATATACACCATGGAATACTATGCAGCCATAAAAGCACGATGAGTTCCTGTCCTTGTAGGGACATGAATGAATCTGGAAACCATCATTCCCAGCAAACTGACACAAGAACAGAAAATCAAACACTGCATGTTCTCACTCAGAGGCGAGTGTTGAACAATGAGAACACATGGACACAGGAGGGGAGCATCACACACTGGGGTCAGTTGCAGGGCTTAGGGGAGGGACAGTGGGGTTGGGGAATATTGGGAGGGGAAACATGGGGAGAAATGCCAGTTGTAGATGATGGAGGGATGGAGGCAGCAAACCACCTTACCGCATATGTACCTATGCAACAACCCTGCATGGTCTGCACATGTACCCCAGAACTAAAGTATGATAAAAAAACAGAAAGAAATATTTTTGTCTTAAAAAAAAGAGAAAGAAATTTGTGAAAGTGTCATTTCTGGCTTCCCTTTTCTCAATGGAATTTGACAGGCCATGTAATATATAATATTTATTTATTTTGTTGGGGTCCTTAATTTGCTCAGTATTGTTAATAAAACCTCACCTTTTATAAATTATGTACACCTTGCAGAATACGTTTTACCTAGATTATGTCATTGAATTTTTACAGCATACCTGGGAGGTAATCAAGGGAGTCATATTCAATGCTATAGAGTTTAGAAAATTGATGCTAACAAATATTGGCTTACAGAACATGTGACAGTGATATTACAGTCATAAATTGGAACCTACATTATTTTTTCTCCATGTACAATACTCTTCCTATGAACAGCACCTTGCTTTGCATGAAAAGCAGTGTCATAAGCTAGTGGTGTGGAGAGTAATGGCCCTTCAAAGGTATTCACTTCTCATCTTTAGAATCTGAACATGCTACCTTCCATGGTAAAAGAGACTTTGCAGATATCACTGACTTCAGAGACTTAAAATAGGAAGATTATCCTGGATTATCTGAAAAAACCCATTGTAATCACCTTATAAGAGCTTCCTTATAAGGTTCTTATAAAGAAGTTTCTTATAAGGAAAGCAGGAGGTAGGACAGTCAGATTAGAGAAGGTATGACAATGAAAGCAGAGACCTGAGTGACATGGGGCCACAAGCCAAGAAATCCAGATAACTTCTACACATTGGAAAGTGCAGGAAGCTGACTCTCCCCTAGAGTTTCCAGAAAAAAACACTTCCCAGCTGACATTGTAATTTTAGCTTAGTGGTCCATTTTGGACTTCTCACTTCTGGAACTTTAAGAGAATAAACGTGGGCTGTTTTAAGCCCCTTCGTTTGTACTAATTTATTATAACAGCAATGGGAAACTAAACAATCCCTTCAGGTAATACTTCTTTTCTTTTGAGATGGAGTCTTGCTCTATTGCCCAGGCTAGAGTGCAGTGATGCGACCTTGGCTCACTGCAAGCTCCACCTCCTGGATTCAAGCAATTCTGCTGCCTTAGCCTCCCGAATAACTAGGACTACAGGTGCCCGCCACCACACCTGGCTACTTTTTTGTATTTTTAGTAGAGACAGCATTTCACTCTGTTAGCCAGGATGGTCTCGATCTCCTGACCTTGTGATCCTCTCACCTCAGTAATACTAGTTGTAAATTCATACCTCAGTAAAATTTTACACTAAGTATCATATTATGACTAGGAACTTGCCCCTTAATTGCAACCAGGAAGAATCAAAACTAATAATTTAATCTTCTTGATTTATTGTTTTATAGTGTTTTTTTGTTACTTTTCACTTTTTCAAATTTTTGCTTCATTAATCATATATAAGGAATGTGTTTTTCAAATTCTTAGTCAATATCCTTCTAAAATTCTGATTCCTTCT